AGCAAACCACAGCAAACCACAGCAAACCACACAAACCACAGCAAACCACAGCTAACCACAGCTAACCACAGCAAACCACACAAACCACAGCAAACACAGCGTAAAGAAAGCGATACAGGCAGACCGCTGACACACGCTTATCCTCGTTTACCGAATTCCAGGTATAAAACAGGGATTCAAAAGTACTCACTGACACATTTCGTTTAAATAATCTGTTAGCTTCAAAACTATTTGAAAATGCACGAGTCTAGGTAGATGTGGGATAGAACAAATTAGCAACACTCGCTGGTAGCATTGCACTCCGGTAGCAACACTCGCTGGTAGCAATGCACTCCGGTAGCAACACTCGTGGGTAGCATTGCACTCCGGTAGCAACACTCGTGGGTAGCAATGCACTCCGTAGCAACACTCGCTGGTAGCAATGCACTCCGGTAGCAACACTCGTGGGTAGCATTGCACTCCGGTAGTAACACTCGTGGTAGCAAGTCTCGCTACCCATGTTGACAGGCGTGCGTGCAATAAAGAACGGCACCTGCTTATTAATGCAAGCTGAAATACAGCTTGCATCACCATCATTCATGAAAACTTCCCTCGCCAAAAACATTTGAAAGAAAGGCGGAATCCACCTTCAACAAAACGTTTGTTCCGCGGATTAATCCTGTCAGCTAATCTCACCTTACTGCTGGTGATGGTTTAATCCCACCCTGAATACATTTTTTTTTAGATTTATGACATTTTTTCTCTCGTTAAATCTAAAAAGGTTCTTCGCCTTTTTAAAAGACGCTTGCTAGTTTTTATTGTAAATTCTCAATTTTTTTTAAAAACTGCTTTTTTTTTATCGTCTACTGATCAACAGAAAAAAATAATTATAAAAACTGATCCTCTAAATCAGAAATGCAAACTCGCTGGTAGCATGCGGCCCACAAGAATTTGATGGGGTCCACAAAGCCATGAAAAAACATTGCAATACAATGCACCTTTTGAAATAGCTCAATTTTATTCTAAACGGCTGTATCATAAAAAGGAGTTCAGTTGATGCGCTAAAGTAATAAAATCTTTGTAGCCCTATATCGGCGTGTCTGGGTGTTCATCCCTATCTTCTAGTGTAAAATTGGTTCAAATCTAGGTGCCTTCTTTTAGGACATTCACTCGGGCATAAAGGGGGGGGGGGGGGTCGGGGGTAATGTTTAGCGCGTGTGTAGACGTCGAGGGGGGGGGGTCCGGGAGCACCTTCCTTGTTCAGGGGAGCACTAGACGTGTTCAGGGGAGCACTAGACTTGTTCAGGGGAGCACTAGACTTGTTCAGGGGAGCACTAGACGTGTTCAGGGGAGCACTAGACTTGTTCAGGGGAGCACTAGACTTGTTCAGGGGAGCACTAGACTTATTCAGGGGAGCACTAGACTTGTTCAGGGGAGCACTAGACTTGTTCAGGGGAGCACTAGACTTGTTCAGGGGAGATCAAGACTTATTAAGGGGAGCACTTGACTTGTTCAAGGGGGCACTAGACTTGTTCAGGGGAGATCAAGACTTATTCAGGAGAGCACTAGCCTTGTCCAGGGGAGCACTAGACTTGTTCAGGGGAGCACTATTATTATGTTCATAGTTGATAATGTAAACAAACTATCCAGCCTTTAATGAGACATTGATATGTAGACACATGCAACATCGGCTGTGTCCGATAGATGCTATTTTTCCTCCTCACTAGTAGTCAGCTTTCTTAATTCTTGCTAGAGTATTTAACACCCCCTCCCCTCCCCCGGCCCCCCCCCCCCCCCCCACCGTATTAACTGAAGTTTTACTCTATGTAATGTGATCAATGTAACAGATAATGTCTTTTAGTTTACTGCTCTTAATGTGACCACCCTCTGTTTTGCCCAACATCCAATAACACAGCAACAATAGCAACCACAGCAACCACAGCAAACCACTGCAAACCACTGCAAACCACAGCAAACCACAGCAACCACAGCAACCACAGCGTAAAGAAAGCGATACAGGCAGACCGCTGACACACGCTTATCCTCGTTTACCGAATTCCAGGTATAAAACAGGGATTCAAAAGTACTCACTGACACATTTCGTTTAAATAATCTGTTAGCTTCAAAACTATTTGAAAATGCACGAGTCTAGGTAGATGTGGGATTGAACAAATTAGCAACACTCGCTGGTAGCATTGCACTCCGGTAGCAACACTCGCTGGTAGTATTGCACTCCGGTAGCAACACTCGTAGGTAGCATTGCACTCCGGTAGCAACACTCGTGGGTAGCAATGCATTCCGGTAGCAACACTCGCTGGTAGCATTGCACTCCGGTAGCAACTCGTGGGTAGCAATGCACTCCGGTAGCAACTCGTGGGTAGCAATGCACTCCGGTAGCAACATTTGCTGGTAGCATTGCACTCCGGTAGCAACACTCGTGGGTAGCATTGCACTCCGGTAGCAACACTCGCTGGTAGCATTGCACTCCGGTAGCAACACTCGTGGGTAGCAATGCACTCCGGTAGCAACACTCGTGGGTAGCAATGCACTCTGGTAGCAACACTCGCTGGTAGCATTGCACTCCGGTAGCAACTCGTGGGTAGCAATGCACTCCGGTAGCAACACTCGCTGGTAGCATTGCAGTCCGGTAGCAACACTCGTGGGTAGCATTGCACTCCGGTAGCAACATTTGCTGGTAGCATTGCACTCCGGTAGCAACACTCGTGGGTAGCAATGCACTCCGGTAGCAACACTCGTGTGTAGCAATGCACTCCGGTAGCAACACTCGTGGGTAGCAATGCACTCCGGTAGCAACACTCGCTGGTAGCAATGCACTCCGGTAGCAACACTCGCTGGTAGCATTGCACTCCGGTAGCAACACTCGCTGGTAGCATTGCACTCCGGTAGCAACACTCGCTGGTAGCATTGCACTCCGGTAGCAACATTTGCTGGTAGCATTGCACTCCGGTAGCAACACTTGTGGGTAGCAATGCACTCCGGTAGCAACACTTGTGGGTAGCATTGCACTCCGGTAGCAACACTCGTGGGTAGCAATGCACCCCGGTAGCAACACTCGCTGGTAGCATTGCACTCCGGTAGCAACACTCGTGGTAGCATTGTACTCCGGTAGCAACACTCGTGGGTAGCATTGTACTCCGGTAGCAACACTCTATAGTAATCAATCCAACAAAAGGAAATATCCCAACAACAAACCACGCTTCAATGACTCGTTCGCCTTAACCCAACCCTTACCTCCCACCCAAAGTGGTTTGACCACATGAATATTTTTTTCCACCCAATTCCAATAGTTTTTACTTTCTCGTATATACGAAGTATAGAGAAAGTATTGTAATCGTGCAAAAAAAAAAATCGAGATTTTTACAAATCTCGACATTTTACACCTCACTGATACCGAAAAACATAATTTTGCAATCTTGTCCGTATGTCTGTGTGTCTGTCTGTCTGTCTCTGTGTGTGTGTGTCTGTCCGTGTGTAAAGTTTCGCTACCCATGTTGACAGGCGTGCATGCAATAAAGAGCGGCACCTGCTTATTAATGCAAGCTGAAATGCAGCTTGCATCACCATCATTCGTGAAAACTTCCCATGCGGAAAACATTTGAAAGAAACGGGGAAACCACCCAACAACATCGGGCACATATTCACAAAACTTTTGTTCCGCGGATTAATCCTGTCAGCTAATCTCACCTTACTGCTGGCGATGGTTTAATCCCACCCTGAATACATTTTTTTTTAGATTTATGACATTTTTTCTCTCGTTAAATCTAAAAAACTTCTTCGCCTTTTAAAAGACGCTTGCTAGTTTCTATTGTAGATTCTCAAGAAAAAAAAAATCATTTTTTATCGTCTACTGATCAACAGAAAAAATATTATAAAAACTGATCCTCTAAATCAGAAATGCAAACTCGCTGGTAGCATGCGGCCCACAAGAATTTGATGTGGTCCACAAAGCCATGAAAAAACGTTGCAATACAATGCACCTTTTGAAATAGCTCAATTTTATTCTAAACGGCTGTATTATAAAAAAGGTTTCAGTTGATGCGCTGAAGTAATAAAATCTCTGTAGCCCTCTATCGGCGATCTGGGTGTTCATCCCTATCTTCTAGTGTAAAATTGGTTCAAATCTAGGTGCCTTCTTTTAGGACATTCACTCGGGCATAAAGGGGGGGGGGGTCGGGGGTAATGTTTAGCGCGTGTGTAGAAGTCGAGGGGGAGGGGGGTGGTCCGGGAGCACCTTCCTTGTTCAGGGGAGATCAAGACTTATTCAGGGGAGCACTAGACGTGTTCAGGGGAGCACTAGACGTGTTCAGGGGAGCACTAGACTAGTTCAGGGGGGGGGGCAATAGACTTGTTCAGGGGAGCACTAGACTCAGTGGCGTAGCGAGGTCGGGTGTCACCCGGTGCGGCACTTAATGGTCTCACCCTCAGAGGCGTAGCGACCCTTCCCGGGGACATACTTTCAAGTTTTCGATTTGCACCCCCCCCCCCCCTCAAACTTTCGATTTGCACCCCCCCCCCCTCAATTTTTCTCTATATATTTTGCTATTTTTTTGGCTTGGTGTCACCCCCCTAAATGGTGTCACCCGGTGCGGTCCGCACCTTTCGCCCCCCCCCCCCCCCCTCGCTACGCCCCTGACTAGACTTGTTCAGGGGAGCACTAGACTAGTTCAGGGGGGGGGGGGCAATAGACTTGTTCAGGGGAGCACTAGATTTGTTCAGGGGAGCACTAGACTAATTCAGGGGAGTTCTAAACTTGTTCAGGGGAGCACTAGATTTGTTGAGGTGAGTTATGGGGAGTTATGTGAAGAGGAGTGCTGGGATGTAAAAAGAAGGCAAGTTTATTTCTTCATGTCTGCTGTACCGCAGAGGTAAATAGAAAAAGAAGAAGTACATTTTGAAAGATTAAAGTTTGCCGAAAATCGAGGCGGATTTACGTCATCAAAACATGTGCTTGTTAGAACTTCCGGCTGCGTCTGAGCAAAAATGGCTACCATGGTACAAGATTCAGCTACTGTAGTTCGGTCAGATCAAGATGAGAAACCTTTAAGTGAGACGTCCTTGTGTGGACATAGTTAAACACGAGGTGATTCAGGATTGTGTATTGAAGTTGTTGCTTTCAGCAGCCTGTTAGGGAGTGCACGTGTAGGTGCGATACACGCAGGATAAAATATTAAGTGGAAGTAAGTCAGATTTGTTAGAATATTTAGATTTAGATCTATTTATAATTTGTTACATGTATACTACATATCGTTATTTTAATTTAAATTAATCGTTTTGCGATTACATTTTTTGAGGGTACGCGTATGTAATTCAGTAAGTTAACACACTATATTATTTAAGGGTTTTGTTAAAGTATCGATACCGGCAAAAATAACTTCGATCCGGTCCTAGCTTTGAGCATGAATTTCACCTTGTTTATACTGGCGACATGTATACCATACATGTCTAGAAAAAAAAATCGCAGCAAGAAAGTATACAAGTTCCGTGGGAAAATAAAATTTCAGATAACATTAACTTGTTGGGAATTTTTTTTTTCTAGACATGTATGGTATAGGCCTACATGTCGTAAGTGTAAACACGTGTTAGGTTAGCATCGTTATATTGATCATGTTGTAATTGTGTTTCGATTCTAATTAAATAATACCTGCAGGGCAATACAGTTCAGTATTGAGTTTTGTTTATTCATGTTCTAATTTTTTAAAATTCGATTCCAGCTTTTTAAATCTGCTGGTATCGAAGTAAAATTCAGGGTTAGTACTATGTTTAGGGTCGCAGTTAGATTCGGAACTAGTATTATGGTCAGGGTTATAGTTAATTTGGTGACAGTATCAAACATAGCATCCGTTACGCTCTGTTGGAGCTTCTACAAGTACCATTCATTGAACTGTTAGGGCTAGGATGTGTGTTAAGACCAGGGCTAAGGTCAAGGTAATTGTTGACGCCAGAATGATTCTCGTTGCTATGTAGTCACCAGGAGACGGATGTGGTAAACATGTTGATGACGTGTTATTTACGCAACTTTATACTTCGTTGTGTAAAGCATCTTTTTAGCGCAATTTCCATACTAGACTATTGCGATTATTAACTCGTCAAGGATGGATGTGTGTCCGCAGGTTTAAGTCGTATCTCCTCCTCAACGAAGCAATATCGAGGACTAGTTCCAAAAGCAAATATGTTAGCAAGTTCCGAGGATGATTGTGGGCCAAAAAAATTCCCGGAATTCCATCCTGGATTTCCCGGAAAAGCCAAAAAACCTCGGAAAAAATGCAGTTTTTGGCCCATATCTCGGCAACCAGACCACATAGCGACTTGAAACATTTACCAATCGATTCCTGCCATAATTTAGAACAATATTGCCGAAGAAAGTTTTCAAAAATATCCTTTCGTTTGGTCACAAAAAATTAATTAAGGAAATTGCGCTTAAATTGTTTTTTTTTAATCGGTAAGGTTTATTAAGGGGTGAGGGCTAAGAACGGGTTCGGCGATTGCCATTGAGAATTTAGATAGAAAATATTTTTTTGTATAAGAATATTCTGTTTCTTTATTACCTGCGGCAGGTGATATATCAGTGTATGTATGCGGTCTTTATTCATTTTTGGTCTCAGTTCGGGGTGATAATTGAATTTGTCACAATGTGATATGAGGTACGAGACAGTAGCGTCAGTTTCTTATTGGCTACTTTATCACAAATGCAGGCTGTTTTCTTCTTCTTCGTTCTTAATTCTATTGTTAGAAGGGATTCCCTTCAACACAATGAAGCATTACGTCTCAACTTGTTATACGCCATATAGGCCGTTGACTCTGATTTCAGCCTTGCACGCTATCAAATACGAAGATGGGGGAGGGAGGGGGAGGTGCAGGGCAGGTGAGGGTGAGTAGAAGCGGTGATTGGTCCACCTGTGTGCAATGTCCATACATCTCACCTTTTCAGAAATTACGAGCAAACATTGCTATTTTTATATTAATTAATTACCTGTATAGAAACAGCCCACGCAGTCCCCCCCCCCCCCCCTTTACACTTTTCGTCAAGTTACGCGCGAGGCAAACATACAGACAGCTCCTTCCTTTTTATTTGCCGCTACTTCTTTCATCCTCGGCTCAACGCTCTCCACTCGGGACCACTCTACTCCACCTGTAAACGTTGGTCCCTCGTCCGCATTTAGTTCGTCAGGTGTTTTCTAACCCGGCTTTCAGTATTTTATTCGTGTCTGTCTCCTTGCGTTATCTAGAGAACAAATGTTTCATCGTTAAAAAAAAAAAATCCCACAATATAATTTTGAGGAGCTTTTCTCTTACGTCCGCGTTTGTTCGAGCGTGTAGCCAATGATGCCACTCAAATGTGCCACCTTTCTTTTGTGTTTTATCTCAATACATGTTTCTTCACAGTCTCATTTCGGACTAATATAACATGGAAGATTGCATATTATTATCCCGTCCTATTTACTTAACACATGGGGGTAGTCATTCAGTCCCTTTGAGCTGAGCGATTTCATCAATGTCCATTTTAACTCACGGAGTTAATCCCATATATATATATATATATATATATATATATATATATATATATATATATATATATATATATATATATGTGTGTGTGTGTGTGTGTGTGTTTGTGTTTGTGTGTGTGTGTGTGTGTAAGTGTGTGTGTGTGCAAAGGTTCGTAAGTTTGGGTGAGTGAGGGCCCTACTCATTTGCTGAAAAAAAGTATAGACAACAAAGAAGTTAGTTCCACATTACTCACGCTGAGACTTTTCACCTATTGTGGTCAGTGATAGACCATTTCAGATGGTGATTTCGATAATTAAAGGGTTGTTCTCATACAGAACTCCCCACAATGTCTTTAATATACAATGAGACCATTGCAGATGGAGATGTCGATACTTAAAATTAAGGGTTGTTCCCATACAGAACTCCCCACAATGTCTGTATTATAGAATGAGGCCATTGCAGAAGGAGATGTCGATACTTAAAATAAAGGGTTGTTCTCATACAGAACTCCCCACAATGTCTGTACTATAGAATGAGCCCATTGCAGATGGAGATGTCGATACTTAAAATTAACGGTTGTTCCCATACACAACTCCCTTCCAGATCTTGTGTTCTGACAGGAACAATGAACTGAGACCTGGTTGGGTTGGTTCTTGAGTGTGTGTGCGTGTGCGTGTGTGCGTGTGTGTTTGTGTGTGCGTGCGTGCGCGCGTGCGTGTGTGTGTGTGTGTTATTACATTTAGTGCAATTAGGAAGCTTGGCACGTGGTTAATGGGGTGGGCAATTAAATTTTAAAACTTTTATAGCTTTTTGGGGCGTCGGGGGATGAAAGATATTCGGCTGTTGTAATGGACCGCTACATGTCTTGTTAAATCTGTCCTGTTTATGAATACCAGATTTTTGAAAGATAGACGATAAAAGGTTTTTTTTAAAGAGATTTTTTTTACAATCTTTTTTTTTCTACCCACTCCACCACCCCCTCCCCCTCCCCACCCCCACCCCCCTCCACCCCCACACCACACACTTTATCTTCGTTGTTATAACCCAGTGTCGTTTTCCCAAAACTATTTTTTTTTAATTATGATAAAATACTTTAGGCTGCGTTGAAAATTTTTCAAGTTACATTTTTGGGTGGGGGGGGGGGGGGGGTTGATTTTGATTCGTAAATTTGTAGTTGTAGTGCTTTGGTTCGTTGGCCTTTTTTTGTTAATGGTTTACGAAATTTTAAAAGTACTTTTTCCGAAAATGATGCTTCAAACGACTTTGCAACATCTGCTTCCTTCTGCCTAGTCGTGTTCTTGCTGTTATCCTTATTTGTCTACAAGGTTGTGTGTTGGATTACTTTCTGGTTCACTATCAAAACCACAACTGGTATGCTTGGATAGCTGGAGATGTTGCTGTCATTTTTTCCGAAAATGATGCTTCAAACGACAGATGAAGTAGAGTTTAACTGTTATTTATACATTAAATACGGTTTAAAAGACATACACTTACAGACACAAATATATATATTTATTAATAGACATATTTAGGATAATAAATTTTGGATTTTTTTTAAACAAAAATCTGGCATGAAAACACGTGTGTTGTATCACGGATCAGAAAAAAAATCCTTTGGACACTTTTTTCATCAAACACCTCCCCTCACCACACACCCACACACACACACACACACATTTACACTTTTTCAACCATCAAAATGAGTAGAGTTGATTTCACAAAATTCTTGAAACTTTATCACCGTGTTTTATTATACTTTGTGTTCATGAAGTTTGAATGTTTAATCTTACTTAAGTAAGAAAACTTACTGTTTAATCCTTAAAACCACCACCAGTCAATTCTAGAGTGTATTCCCTATTCTCCTAAACGTTAATCTAAAATGTTACAAAATGTATGTCCAATCCAACAGAATTGGTTCACTTGTGTTTTTTATGCTGAAATATTCTTGAGTGTACGTACCCTCAAACAAAAATATATTTAGACATACAGCGGTGTTTAATTATCATCATTTTCATAATATATATGTGTGTGTGTGTTCGTGCATGCGTGCGTTCGTGCGTGCGTGCGTGCGTGTGTGTGTGTGCGTGCGTGTGTGTATTCGTTTGAGGGTGGTTAGATAGGTATATTTTGTTCCATAAAAACATAAGTAGTATATATATATATATATATATATATATATATATATATATATATATATTGTTATTGGTGGTAGTTCTGCTTGCTGTAGGCTTACTACTACAAATATGACTGAGATAATATTATATTTTCTTCCAAATCAGGTAGTTGGTCTAGAGTTACCTGAGTAAATATTTTATCGCAGGATCTAGTACGTTCACTGAATACTCTCAAATAATGTTGGAACATTGGATGTCGCCGTCTGATCGTTGCAAGTAACTACTGGGGACAAAATGTCCAGTCAATGTCCAAGTAGAGATTGTTTGGGGAAATCTGGTAAGGTCTGACCTGTGAACCGTGTTTTACTCATATATATATATATATATATATATATATATATATATATATATATATATATATATATATATATATATATATATATATATAAACTTGTGTCTGACTGTGTATTTGTTTGTGTTTGTGTGTGTATGTGAGTGTTTGTGTGTACAACCTATCATACATCAAAATCGGGGGTTGCTCCTCTGAATTGAGCTCCATAACGTTTTACTACTAAAGGTTTTGAGAAGGTCCCAGTGTCAAGCAAAATTGTCTTTAATGGATTCGAACCGTTGACTTCATTTCCTTTCTTGACCAAGGCACATAGGGCAGATAAAGTAGAGTTGATCTGTTTTAATGACCATTGGCATGTGCGCTCACTGCCCAGCCGCCTTGGATTCCTTAACGTGAGTCAGATGCCCATCAGAACTTGGACGGACAGACTTGAGGATGTGAACGCTTGACATTTGGGTTAGCAGTCGTCAGCTCTATGACCAAAACCGTAGGCTTTGGGGGGGGGGGGGGGCAAACCGTCGACTTAAAGAGAATTTTTTTTTTAATCAAGTCCAAAACATTAGCACACACAAAAATAAAATATCGCATTACATCCCCCACCCCCTGGTTGGTATGATTGACGCTGAACAATCATAACAGACTGGCATGTAGGAATTAGACGCCGAGTATCAAATAAAAGCTTAAAGACTTGTGTTCTGCGGCCGCACTTACGGCTGTCACAAGGGCACATTCAGTCTGAAGGGGACTGCATGATGTCTCCTTCATGCCGTCCATGGAATTTTCTAGAGTGACAAAAGAACTATACATGTCTTCGCAGCAATTACGTTGTCACAGCATACGTTGGAAAGGGGGGGGGGGGTAGGAATCGTTTAGAAGTCAAATGTATAGTGTCTATATATATAATGTCTGTATATAGGGTCTATATATATATATATATATATATATATATATATATATATATATATATATATATATATATATATATATATATATATATCGTATTTATATACATGTCTACAGTTCGAGTTCTGTGTAAGAACTTGGGTGTAATTGGGTTTTTAAAATTATGTAAGCATTCGAGAAATACTTACGTGATACCTACAGATAAACGGTAGATGAGGATCTGGTATGGGAATCTTTAAATGTTAGTTTGGAATTCGATCTTTCACAATCAACGTTAAAGTCCAATTTGACGTCATAGTGGTAACTGGTGATAATTAGACGGTGATAATCATAGTTGATGAGGTAATTACAGGGAAGGGAGCAACATAGCTGATTAAAAAGTATGAAAGCCAGTACATCACAGATCAAGTTCTGCGTGCGTACTTGAGATGGTACGTCTAATGCACGTGTGAGCGACAATTACGGGCGTGTGTCCTGTATTCAGGGGAGTGAATTGACAACCTGACGCTGACCTTGTGAGTGGTTTCAAGGTCGCAGTGAAATAGAGGGCGGGGGCGATCGTGGAGACTCTACAGTAGGCCGTACAAATATCATAGTGGGGAAGTGCTGAGGGTCTTAGTAACGCGCCGCATTATGGGATAGTGGTCATGGGCAGCAGGGGCCATTATGGAGGGGCTAACAGTCAATAGGCTAGGACCAAAGGCAGAGGGTATAAATGGGGCTAATAGTAAATGGCTTAAACCAATTAAAGAGAGGCTAAAAGAGACTAACAGTAAATTGCTGTGTTTTTTTAAACTAATGTTTATCATTACATTGTGACACCTTAAAAAAGAATACCAATTAAATCGGCTCATGCAAGCACCTAGTGCTTAAAAACCCCAGTTTTTTAAAATTACCTAAAACTAATTTGTAAAAAGTTACATCATCTTTATAAATCAACACAGTCATACTTCAAAATAAAAATCTCTTTAACATTTGATATTTTCTAGTCAAGTAATCTGTAAGTATTGTAAGGTGAGTGAGCAATATCTTCATATGCCATTCCTACTGAATCAGATAGCATGTACAGGTCCATTAATTTTTATAACTAATATTCCAAAACATTTCTGAGTTGTTTTTTTTTAAATCAAAATACTAAGTGTAATTTTAAAATACAAATTGATAATTCAGCCTAAAACATAAATCAAATACTTTTGATAGTACAGCAGTCACACAGCTGTATGAATAATGACATGAAGTGTGGCATTGAAAATTAAACCAACCCCATAATAAAGAATACTGGCTGTAATTGTACTATTGTAGCATCTAGAACAACCCCAGGAAAGACAAAAATAAATTCCTGAGTCTACATGGTCCCAGCATTGACTTGGTGATGCTATCTCTATAGTTTTCATTCATTCCTTGCTGCATGTTGTCAGAACTCACAGTTTACTAAATATTAAACGTTGCTGATGCTTTTTCTAGTCCATGAATGGCTTCTTTTTTTGAAAGTCTTCAAATTTATAGCATCTTCTTCATGTCCAAGAGGCATCGCATTAAAATCTTTTGCTCCAACAGTTAACATAGCTTCATTATATTGTTTAAAGTAATATATCCCCGTCCAGTTGGGTCCAGCATACCAAACACGGCAGTTATATTTGATTCGTTAAATTTTATTTCTACGGTGTAAAACCTTTATACTCAAAGAAAACGCAGCAGAGTTTTTTATTATAGAATAAGATTCCTTAGATTATAAATAAGAAAGCAAAAAATATTTTTAAACAGTTTTATAAAAATGTATAGAAATAAACAGTTAAATGACGATATAAAATTTCTAACTTTCTTGGTTATATTTTTAAAACAACTTATACATATTTTAAAATCCTAAAAGTGATATCTTAGATTTAAGGTTCAAAAGAATCTTTTAAAACACTTATCATCACTTCTCCGAGTTACGTAAAGGGAAACAATTCTGTAAATATTGTCTCCCTTTCTTTCAGTGTAAGAGATGTCCGGGCTGGATGACTGCTACCTTCCCAGCCTCAACAAAACATCATCCTCGGACTTGGAGTTCTACGAGACCGTCACCACCTCCGTCCTCGCCGTGGTGCCAATGTTCCTGATCATCATGGGGACGGTGGGGAACATCCTGACCCTCATCGTGCTCACCAGCAAGGCCATTAGCCACAAGAGCTATAGCTTGGCCATCAGCCTGCGTTTTTTGGCCTGTATGGACATTCTGGTGTTGTGGACATTGCTGGGCCGACATTTTGTCTCCGGTGTCTTAGGCGAGGATATACGGAACTGGTCGTTTGACGTGTGCAGGTAATTAGTGCATTAATTAGTGGAACTGGTTGTTTGATGTGTGCAGGTAATTAGTGCATTAATTAGTGGAAGTGGTTGTTTGATGTGTGCAGGTAATTAGTGTATTAATTAGTGGAACTGGTTGTTTGACGTGTGCAGGTAATTAGTGCATTAATTAGTGGAACTAGTTGTTTGACGTGTGCAGGTAATTAGTGCATTAATTAGTAGAACTGGTTGTTTGATGTGTGCAGGTAATTAGTGTATTAATTAGTGGAACTGGTTGTTTGACGTGTGCAGGTAATTAGTGCATTAATTAGTGGAATTGGTCGTTTGACGTGTGCAGGTAATTAGTGCATTAATTAGTGGAACTAGTTGTTTGACGTGTGCAGGTAATTAGTGCATTAATTAGTGGAACTAGTTGTTTGACCTGTGCAGGTAATTAGTACATTAATTAGTGGAACTGGTTGTTTGATGTGTGCAGGTAATTAGTGTATTAATTAGTGGAACTGGTTGTTTGACGTGTGCAGGTAATTAGTGCATTAATTAGTGGAATTGGTCGTTTGACGTTTGCAGGTAATTAGTGCATTAATTAGTGGAACTAGTTGTTTGACGTGTGCAGGTAATTAGTGCATTAATTAGTGGAAGTGGTTTATTGACGTGTGCAAGTAATTAGTGTATTAATTAGCAGAACTGGACGTTCCACGTTTGCAGGTAATTGGTGTATTAATTAGAAGAACTGGACGTTTGACGTTTGCAGGTAACTAAAGCATTAATTGCCGGATTGTACTTTTTGTGTTATACGGGAATGGTATAATTGGTGTGGGCATATAATTAGTGCATTAACTAGCAGAACTGGTCGTTTGGCGTATGCAGGTAATTAGTGCATTAATTGTAATTGTTCTTGAAATTATGGGCTGGTATTCAGTGTGTGGATACCGTCCCATGTTGTATCTACTTCCAGGGTTAACGTTGTTTCGTAACCTTGACCCTGATATCAGACTTAATCGACTCTCACGGAACCCCACCACCACCAATGATTACACACGAAAAAAATTCGCTCATCAAGGACACAAAACGGACATGTTATTAATATAAATATGGTTATAAAAACCTGACTACTTTTTGTTGGACTTTAGTAAAGAGTGGATGTATTTGATGTTTTAGTAATTTCGGTAATTAAAGATATTAAAAAATAAAATACAAAACAATTTGGTTTTAAAGTGGTTATGGAGACATAAACAAAGACCTCCTGGTATCCGATCGACTAGCATGACATTTAGAAGACAAAATGTAAACATAAATGACAGGACTATATCGTGTAGTTTAATAGAGTATAATTTTATTTTAAAATGTTCTTGGCAAGGTTTTGTAAACAAATAATATGATATGGGGCTGTCAGAATATTGAGCATGGAGTTCCTATTCAGCCAATCAATGTTTGTCTGACGAAAGTGAAACTTCCGGTTATAATTTAGGCTTGTTAAAATATATAGAATTGTAGGCTTTGTAGCCTTGAACTAAAAAAATGAAATTATTTTCAAGTTCTGTAGATTTTTCCCCCTCTTATAGAAAGTATAGAGGAAATATTGTAATCGTGCTAAAAAAGCCATCGTTTTTCACTAATCTCGACGCTTTACACCTCCCTGAGTCGGAAAAACATAGTTTTGCAATTTTGTCCCTCTCTCTCTGTGCGTGTGTGTGTGTGTCTGTGTGTGTGTGTGCGTGTGTGCCTGTCTGATTACCGTTACAGCTAGGTTGATGATTTCATATACAAGTATTATATCAAATTTGTTGTTCTGTATCAACTTTACGGCGATTTCCGAAAACCGAAGATGGGAGTTTTTCTACTTTCAATTTTTCAAAAGACTATAACTTAAGTACTGTTTCAGAAACATGAATGAAATTTCACATACAAGTAAAAGATTTAATCCTCTGCCTTCTATCAAATTTTGAGTAATTTCCATTGAACGAAAGTAGTAATTTACGTGATTTCCAATTTCGCAAAAAAGAAATATGAATTTATAAAGTACTATTATTCCGCAATATTATACAAATATTGTTTGCCGTTCACATGCCGTTATTTTTCCTTCGAGAATCTATTATGTTTTAAAATGTTTAAGTATGTAAAATTTGATTAAAAATCATGTCTATATCCCGAGGTGCCATATAATTTTCAAGGGAGGTAACATTTTTAAAATAATTATTTTTCAAACAATTGTACACTATTTTAAACAAACAGAAAATGACGAAGTATAGCATTTGTTTCAGTTAAAAATTAAGTTGTTATATAAAATACGTATCTTAATTAAATAAATAAATTATTTTTAATTGTAATATAAATTATGAGATATACTGTTCATGTAACCTCTGTAGTTCTAATTCCATTTTGTCATACATTTCGAACTTTCCAATATGTTGTCTGAAAACGGACTTGAAACAACAAACAACAACATTTTCTCTAAAATTAGCATATTACTGTTTAAATTTAAGCACTCCACACCTCAGCCATCACTAAATAATTAATTATTCAAACCCTCAAATGTTTTTGAAAACCTAAGCGAAGCTAGGCAGTCTGCCTAGTAATAGAATATTCTAGAAAGTTTAGCGGAGATCACTCCCGCTTTATTTTAAATAATATTTCAAATGTTAAATTGATGGCCAAGTTTTGTAAACCCTCAATTAAATGTCGTAAGCCTACTACGACAAACATCACTGAAAAATTTCAACCGTAGATGTCCGTTTAAAAAAACAGCGGTTGTGGCTTTATATTTGATTACCACAATTAATAATACTAAACTTAAGAACGACACAACACATAGAAAACGGTTCGTAATTTCATCAATCTTTACTACAACAAATAGCATACCTGGATCAGCTTGCTGGCTATATAAACACAAATAAATACTGTGAATGTTCGCAATCACCTTCCTGAAACATTAAGACGAAATAAATGGCGAGAAATTTTCTCATAACATATCACGATTCTACTGGTTTTATCATGTTTGACGTGAAATCGTGACGTAATCATAGCACAAACTGACTGTAAACACCAAATATAAGAACTAGCTTGAAAAAAAAAATGTGTAGCCAGTTAGCTAAGGATTGAAAGTCGATGTGTTATAAAGTGTCGAGTGATTTCTGTTTTCATGGGTATATTTTGTTAGAAAAATTTGTTATATTTTATCAGTGTAGGTTGTATTAGACCAGCGTTCATTTCAGGTGTCTACCCCCCCCCCCCCCTTAAATAGGAAATAGAATGTATATAGAAAATAAATACTTTTATCAGTGTCCGGCTCACCCCCCCCCCACCCCACCCCCACCCCCGGAATATTTCGTCGTCCGCCTTCCCCCCACCACCTCCACGTCAGTTTCAAGTAATCCCCCCTCCCCATAAGAAAAAAGTCTGAAAGAAACACTGTACAAGACAACATCCACACAGGACGCTGGGTTAACCAAGTGCTGTTGGGAAAGAGATGTGATCTCACGGTCTGTCGTTTTTTGTTGTTGCCATGGTTACAGACATCAGAGACATGTCCAGATACAAGAGACAGATATTTGAGACACAAACATATCAAGATACAAGAGACAGATATTGTAGACACAAACATATCAAGGCATTGAGTCGCACTGTTTTTTTTAGACAGAGATATGCGGGCATTAAGTTTCTCTGTTGTTTATGTACACACAAGGGCAACGTATATCTTTTTACAAGCTATTTTTTTAAACGTGTTTCTTCTGTCGTGTTTATTGCTTTATCCGCCCGTCATGGATCGAAACCTACGAGCGAAATTTCAACCACTTCTATCGAACCGATTTGTTTCAAACTTGACAAGTAGCTCAATGCAATGCGACCTAATTTTGTCATAACTTTTACAATTAGATTTGTAAATTTTTTTTTAATTAGTTAGAGATTGCTTACCACAGAACTAAGCTGATCACGGTATTACACACTTTCGCTGTGTTTAATTGGTGCGCATGTTTAAAGTCATGCCATTCGGTTGGCCTCCAATACCCTAGCAGAGATGACGGGCAGTAAATGAATAAATGAATGAATTGTATTATTTTTTTTTAAATTAATAGCACTGTTTCTGCTTTACGCTGTTTCCGATTTATCAAAAAACGCATATGAATTTATAAAGAATTAATGTTCTGCACTATTATACACACACTGTTTACTTTTCACTTGGTGCGCAATTCTTTTTTCTACGAGATTCTATTCTATTTTAAAAAGTTTAAGTATTTAAAAATTGATTTTTAAAAAATTCAATAGCACTATCTATTTAAAAGTAAAAATTAAACTGTAAATAATAAAGAGCTACTACAGAGAAGGCCTACTAAAATGTATGCAAATGTAAACGCTTGTTGTTATAAATGCTTTTTTACACATTATTTTTTTCTCTCAGCTGATTATGTACAAATTTGGTCTTTTATTCTATCTGTTGGTTAGATACAGATTTGGTCCTTTATTCTATCTGTTGGTTAGATACAAATTTGGTCCTTCATTCTATCTGTTGGTTAGATACAAATTTGGTCCTTCATTCTATTTGTTGGTTAGATACAAATTTGTTCCTTTATGATATATGTTGGTTAGATACAGATTTGGTCCTTTATTCTATCTGTTGGTTAGATACAAATTTGGTCCTTCATTCTATCTGTTGGTTAGATACAAATTTGGTCCTTCATTCTATCTGTTGGTTAGATACAAATTTGGTCCTTTATTCTATCTGTTGGTTAGATACAAATTTGGTCCTTCATTCTATCTGTTGGTTAGATACAGATTTGGTCCTTTATGATATCTGTTGGTTAGATACAGATTTGGTCCTTTATGATATCTGTTGGTTAGATACAAATTTGGTCCTTTATTCTATCTGTAGGTTAGATACAGATTTGGTCCTTTATTCTATCTGTTGGTTAGATACAGATTTGGTCCTTTATTCTATCTGTTGGTTAGATACAGATTTGGTCCTTTATTGTCTCTGTTGGTTAGACACAAATTTGGTCCTTTATTGTCTCTGTTGGTTA